TCTACAACAGGAGAACAAGCCAGTGTCTGCATCACCAGCTCCAGATCTGTGACTCAGAATTTTTGCCCAAGGTGATCCAAGCTCTTCCCAAAGGAGCTCATTTCATGGGCAACAGAGTGTGGGGAATTTCAGCCTAGCTGCATTCTCAAATTGAGGTTGTGGTTAAATGAAATGGATAGGAGACTGTTGATTCATTGGAGATATAAGCTAAATCATAGACTGGATTGTTTATCAGAGGAAACCATATAGACAGCTAAGAAAAGCCTTCCTAGGGTCACAACAAATCTCACTGTCCTCAAACACTATCCCTGTAAAATGGTGCAAATTTAATTGCCTCAGTCTGTGGAACACATTATGCTATGGGGCATTGTTGATAACAGCAGAGCAAATAGCCAGCGATTAGTGGGGCTTAACAGCTGGGTGTGGTCAGGGAGAAACTATGAGAGAGGACCTGGCCACAATCGCTATCATTACAGGGTCACTGCACATGACCAAGTCTGTACCCTCTGAAGGTCAACATCAGAGGCTTCACACTGTGGGACATAAATAGTTTCACTAAAATAATCCAACCACTAAGCAAATAATAAGAGTAATAATAATGGCTCCCTAAAGGGAGAAGACTAGTATCCAGTCACTGTTTTATCTAAAATGTCCAGTTTCAAAAATTTATGAGACAAAGAGATAGGATGGTCTGATCCATACATTTAAAAAAATAGCAGGTATCAAAAATCACCTGTAGAGGCCGGGCGCGGTGGCTCACGCCTGTAATCCTAGCTCTCTGGGAGGCCGAGGCGGGCGGATTGCTCGAGGTCGGGAGTTCGAAACCATCCTGAGCAAGAGCGAGACCTCGTCTCTACTATAAATAGAAAGAAACTAATTGGCCAACTAATATATATAGAAAAAATTAGCCGGGCATTGTGGCACATGCCTGTAGTCCCAGCTACTTGGGAGGCTGAGACAGAAGGATCGCTTGAGCCCAGGAGTTTGAGGTTGCTGTGAGCTAGGCTGACGCCACGGCACTCACTCTAGCCTAGGCAACAAAGCAAGACTCTGTCTCAAAAAAAAAAAAAAAAATCACCTGTAATTTTAAAAATAAAGCAAAACTTCCTGTAAGAGTGACCACATGGCTGATTTACCAAAGACTTCAAAGCAGCCATGATAAATATATTGAAATAAATAAAGGAACCCATCTTTAGAGAAGTAAAGGAAGGTGAAGGCAATGTTTCATCAAATAGGAACTAGCTATTAAGAAATTTTTAACAAGAGGCCGGGCATGGTAGCTCATGCCTGTAATCCTAGCACTCTGGGAGGCCAAGGTGGGCAGATCACTTGAGGTCAGGAGTTTGAAACCAGCCTGAGCAAGAGTGAGACCCCCATCTCTACTAAAAATAGAAAGAAATTAATTGGCCAACTAAAAATATATAGAAAAAATTAGCTGGGCATTGTGGCACATGCCTGTAGTCCCAGCTACTTGGGAGGCTTAGGCAGAAGGATTGCTTGAGCCCAGGAATTTGAGGTTGCTGTGAGCTAGGCTGATGCCACAGCAGTCTAGCTTGGGCAACAGAGCGAGACTCTGTCTCAAAGAAGAGAAATTTATAACAAGAAATTTAAAAAAGAACCAAGTAGAAATTCTGGAGCTAAATTGAGAAGTTCATCAGAGGGGATCAACAATAGATTTGAAGTGGCAGACGAAGGAATTAGCATACTTGAAGGTAAATTGATCAAGATTATGCAATCCAAAGAAGAGAGAGAAAAAAGAATGAAGAAAAATGAACAGAGCCTCAGATGAATGTGAGACACAATTAAGCACACCAATGTATGCATAATAAGAGTATCAGGAGAGTAGAGAGAGAAAGGTTGAGAAAAGATATTCAAAGAAATAATGACTGAAATGTATGAAATGAGTGCAACAAGGTAATATATCCATCACCTCAAATAGTTACTGTTTTTTGTGTATGTGTGATGAGAATACTTAGGATTACTCTAAGCAAATTTCAAGTACACAACACAGTTATTAACTATAGCCACCGCACTGTACAGTAAGTCTCCAGAACTTCATCTATAACTGCAGATTTTTACTCTATGACCAATATCTCCTCGTTTCTCCTACCACCTGACCATTCATAACTATCTTTCTACTACTTCCTGTTTCTATGGGTTCGACTTTTGTAGATTTCACATCTGAGAGTATGCGATATTTGTCTTTCTATATCTTTTTATTTGTTCTCACATACAATAATGTCCTCCAGGTTCATCCATGTTGTTTTAAGTGGCAGAATTTCCTTTCTAGATAATATTTCATTGTGTATATAAACCACATGTTCTTTATGCTTTCATCCACTGATGGATGCTTAGGTTGTTTCCATGTCTTTGCTATTATGAATAATGCTGCAGTGAACAAGGGAGTGCAGATATCTCTTTGACATAGTGATTTTATTTCATTTTGATATGTACTGCTATGCTTTGAATGTCCCCTATGAAACTAATGTTGAAACCTAAACCCCATTGTAACAGTATTAAGAGGGTTGAAAATCCAACTATAGTAATTGAGAAGTGGGACCTTTGGGAGGTAATTAGGATTAGAAGAGGTCATGAGGGTAGGGAATTAGTGGCTTTATAAGAAGAGAAAGAAAGACCTGATCTAGCATGCTTGAGCCCCCTTGGCATGTGTTGCCCTGAGACACGTCAGGACTCTGCAGAGAGTCTCCACTAGCAAGAAGAGCCTCACCAGATGTAGCTCCCTTACCTAGGACTTTCCAACCTCCAGAACTGTAAGAAATACATTTATTTTCTGTATAAATTTCTAAGTCTCAGGTATAGCAAAAGAAAAGGGACTAAGACATAATGCCCAGAAGTGGAATTGCTGAATCATGTGGTCATTCTATTTTTAATTTTGTGGGCACCCTTCATACTATTTTCTGCAATGGTTGTACCAATTTATATTGCCACCAACAATGTACAAGCGTTCTCTTTTCTCCACATCTTCACCAAGACTTATCTTTTGACTTTTTTTTTTTTATAATAGACATCCTAACAGGTGTGAGGAATATCTCATGATTTTCTTTGCATTTCTCTGATGATTAGTGATGTTGAGCACCTTTTCATATACCTATTGGCCATTTGTATGTCTTCTTTGGAAAAATGTCTATTTAGGTACTTATTTTTCAATAGAGTTATTTGTTTTTCGGCTACTTAATTGTATGAGTTCCTGGTATATTTTGGATATTAATCCTTTATCAGATATATGGCTTGCAAATGTTTTCTCCCATTCCATGGCTGCTTTTAATTTTGTTATTTCCTTAGCTCTGCAGAAACATTTTGATTTGATGTAATCCCATTTGTTTATTTTTGCTTTTTCTGTGCTTTTGATTTCATATCTAAAAAATCATTGCCAAGACCAATGTCATGGAGCTGTTTTCCTATGTTTTTTTCTTGGTGTTTTGCAATTTCAGGTGTTACATGCAAGTCTTTATTACATTTTGAGTTGATTTTTGTGTATGGTGCAAGATAAGATCCAATTTTAATTTTTGCATATGAATATCCAGTTTTTCCACATCTTTTTTTTTTTTTTTTTGAAGAGACTATCCTTTCCACATTATGTATTCTTGGCTAAGTTGACTTGTTGAAGATTAGGTGACTGTATACAATCATGGGATTATTTCTGATATTTCTATTCTGTTTCATTAGTCTATATGTATGTTTTCATACCAGTACTTCATTGGTGAGTTCTATCTCTGGAAATATTTAAATATTAGAATTCACTGGACACTGGATGTTTGAAAAAATTCACTAAGAAACTCAATAAAGATGCTTTTATTGGTCAAAGAATTTCTGAATTTTCTTCAATTTTTCCACTTCTTGGGCAAACTGTGACACATCTATTCCTGGAGAATCTTTGTGTCACAAAAATATCAAATTTATTTTTATAGAGATGATCATTCAATTTCTTACATCTCTGTGGTTAACACATGCACTCTCTCTCCTCCCTCCTCCACCCTAGCGACTTATGTATAATTCTCCCCATTACTCTTTTTTTTTTTTTTTGAGACAGAGTCTCACTTTGTTGTCCAGGGTAGAGTGAGTGCCTTGGCATCAGCCTAGCTCAACTCCTGGGCTCAAGCGACCCTGCTGCCTCAGCCTCCTGAGTAGCTGGGACTACAGGCATGCACCACCATGCCCAGCTAATTTTTTGTATATATATATTAGTTGGCCAATTAATTTCTTTCTATTTATAGTAGAGATGGGTTCTCGCTCTTGTTTAGGCTAGTTTCTTTCTTTCTTTTTTTTTTTTTTTTGAGAGTCTTGCTTTGTTGCCCAGGCTAGAGTGAGTGTCATGGTATCAGCCTAGCTCACAGCAACCTCAAACTCCTGGGCTCAAGGGATCCTGCTGCCTCAGCCTCCCGAGTAGCTGGGACTACAGGCATGCACCACCATGCTCGGCTAATTTTTTCTATATACATTAGTTGGCCAATTAATTTCTTTCTATTTATAGTAGAGATGGTGTCTTGTTCTTGCTCAGGTTGGTTTCGAACTCCTGACCTCAAAGGATCCGCCCGCCTTAGCCTTCCAGAGAGATAGGATTACAGGCGTGAGGCACCGCGCCCAGCTCCCCTTACTCTTGAGTTAGGGATCAACGTTACTTTTTTCTGCCGATTTATGCCTATCTGCTTTACATAAATGTATTGAAATTTTCTCTGGTTTCTTCAACTGATTTCTTAAACCAATTTAAAAAAAAAATATTGATGGATTCGGTTTCCGACGCTTTTAACCTTTTGTTTCTCACACAATGGGCAGAAGGTGCAGTGCGTCCCTAGGCGACCAGCGTTGCTACCACGTAAGGTCACCCACGTACCGCCGAGCAGTCTGGGTAATGTAGTCTGGGAGGCGCCGTACTCACGCGCACGCGCACTCTCAAGGTCCCCCCGTTTTCAGATCGCGCTTTCCTGCCCTTTGTGCTGCGCCGCCAGGTGAGAGGTGAGTGCGCGGGCGCGGGTGCGCGCGCACTCTCGCACCGACGTCGCTGCGGGTCTGGCTTTCCTTGTCGGGACGCGCGGGTCGCCTGGAGGCGCCGGAAGGGCGTGCACGGCTGGGGGCCCTGAGGCCGCGGGGTCGCGCGGTCCTGGTCGCGGCGTCGCGGTGCGGGCCCCTCGGTGAGCCTGGCGGCTGGGCGCGGCGGGCTCCACGACGGGCGGCGGGGTCGGGGGCCGCGGCGCGGGCGGGGGAGGGGCGGTCGTGTCGGCGCGCAGGCTTCACCCGGGCGGCGGGGTCGGGGGACCGGGCGCCGGCGGGTCCCCTGATCGGAGGCGGCTGGACCGAGGCGCCCCCGGGGCGGGCGTGCGGCGGAGCTGTCTGCGCCCCTGAGGGTGGGTCCGGGGGCCGACGGGCCTCGGTTTCTTTGGAGGTGTTTGGGGTCCCTTGGGTGGGTCAGTGACGGGAAGCTCTGCGGCGTCCCCTGAGGTGAGAGTTTGGGGCGCGGGGAGCAGGGAGGGTCTGGGTGCCGGCTGGGGACAGCCCTCCCCCCCACTGCTGCTTTTGCCTCCAGGGTTCTTCTGGTTCTTGGGTGTTTCCTCCCAGATTGATTTTTTTTTAAATTTATTTTTGAGACAGAGTCTCGCTGTGTTGCCGGGGCTAGAGTGAGTGCCGTGGCGTCAGCCTAGCTCACAGCAACCTCAAACTCCTGGGCTCAAGTGATCCTCCTGCCTCAGCCTCCCGAGTAGCTGGGACTACAGGCATGCACCACCATGGCCGGCTGATTTTTTCTATATATATATTTTAGTTGGCCAATTAATTTCTTTCTAGTTTTAGTAGAGATGGGGATCTCACTCTTGCTCAGGCTGGTTTTGAACTCACGACCTTAAGCGATCCACCCGCCTTGGCCTCCCACAGTGCTTAGGATTACAGGCGTGAGCTGCAGGGCCTGGCCCCAGATTTAATTATTTAAAGATCAGGCCTTCTCTATGTGATGCAGGCATCCCTGGATTTCTTGGCTGTGCCCTGTCTGGGCAGGGCAGATTGGAGGGCTGGGGCCCATGGCTGAACAAAATTAATTGCCTGAGTGTCTGTAGATCGAGCTGTGGTCCAGTGGTATTGGTGACTGGATGGCTGGGACTCATCCCTCCTTCAACCTGACTTCACCCAGCTCAGCTCTACTTAAGAGCGTTTATAAAGGGGCTTTTCCACTTATAAAACAAAACAAAACTTTTGACAATAGCTGGCATGGCATAGGGAACATTGGCCTGAAGTTATGTCTGATTTTATACCAGGTGTACTACTTAGTTTGGACAGTCCACTCACAATTTCTGGGTCTCATGTTTTTCATCTGAAAATGAGTGAGTGAAAAGAAGTTATTTTCTTTCCTACTCACTTCTGATGCTCTTTAAAATACTCCATCTTATTTTACATATTTATTGCTTACTTATTGAAGTTAAACTGCTCCGCTTACTTGTTTTCTTGGGTTAAGGACTGTAACTTATTAAGTATAAATGTATACTTTTTTCTGTTATGATAAATTTAAAATATGTAGTCAATTTGGAGCATCTTGATAAACAGTTTAAAATAAATATCATGATCCCATTGACAGGAGATAGCCACTGTTAACATTTTGGTATATTTCTTTTATTCAATAAATGTATGTATGTTTTTATTGTATCTGACCCTAATATATTTCTTTCCAAAATTGAGAATATGCTGCATGTGCTGCTTAAAGCCATTACAACATATCATCAGTATCTCTCCTTAACTTGAAATATTTTGTCCCAAGTGGGGAGTTTAAATTTACCTGGGAGTTTTTTCATCTGTCCCCTGTCTTGTGTCTATTCTTGGTCTATTTTGGTGACATCCATTGTGTTTTGGGGACTATATTGCACTTGTATTGGGAATATAGATGGGGACACTGGGGCCTTTGCCTGCTTCACCCTCCAGTATTGCAGAGGTAATGTCACAAGCTCTGGGATGGATTCTGTGGGTCTGGTGGGCCCAGAGTGCTACCTCCTGACTTTGTCATAAATGTTGGACAAGTGGCTGAACCTCTTTATGCCTTATCATTTTTCTTATAGTCGGTGCTGGTATGTTAAAAAGACAATATGGTATATAAAACGTATGACACCTAGTAAGTGTAAGTAAGTTATATTTTCTTATTCTCTACTTTTCCCTAAAATTCCTTTAGAACTTGATGATGAGTGGAACTACAGGTGATAATGAAGGTTGTCCCTTCTGAAGAGAAATGTGAGAGCTGTTACAGGGAAAGCTGCAGTGTTATTATGCAGGAAACTGCCAAGGTAAAAAACCAGAACAAAAAACAATGAAGTTAAAATGGGCCAAATTGTACACCGAAGGGCTTGTTGTTAAGGGATTTCGAGCGAGCCAGATGTAAGAGTTAATTCAGGGATAACTTCTCCCTCAAGGATCAACTTTAAAAAACATTTTTTGGCCAGGAGGGCGCAGTGGCTTGCGCCTGTAATCCTGCACTCTGGGAGGCTGGGGGGGGGGGGGGATTGCTCAAGGTCAGGAGTTTGAAACCAGCCTGAGCAAGAGCGAGGCCCCATCTCTACTATAAATAGAAAGAAATTAATTGGCCAACTAATATATATAGAAAAAATTAGCTGGGCATGGTGGTGCATACCTGTAGTCCTAGCTACTTGGGAAGCTGAGGCAGCAGGATTGCTTGAGCCCAGGAGTTTGAGTTTGCTGTGAGCTAGGGTGACACCACAGCACTCACTCACTCTAGCCTGGGCAACAAAGTGAGACTCTGTCTCAAAAAAAAAAAAAAATGTGCATTTTGCTGTTTGCTTAATGAAATGGTTTTAGTGATAAACATAGTCTATTCTTCATGATGTCAGAATTTTTATTATGTGAAATTAAGTAAAAGCATAATGCAAAGTAAATGACATGTTTGTTGTAGGTATATTTTCCTGGATTGTGGTGTGTGTATGTATGTGGATGTTATGCTTTTTTAGCCATACAGAGGTTTTACATTTTTTAATGGTTACATTTACTAACTTTAAAAGAAAATGTTATGGCTTTTGCCTTTTGTGTTGTGTGTAATCTCCCCCCAAATTATACAGATATTCACTTGTGTTTTCTTTAGGCATTATTATGGTTTCTGTTATTTTAAATTCTAATCCCAAGTACTTTGTTGTATGAGATAGATAACTATCGTTTATTTTCTTTCAAATGTTAATCCTATTCATTAAGTAATCCAGTTTTACTTGTGGCTTTGAAGTGTTATTTATTACATGCTGTTGTATATTTTGACAGTTATGCATTTTTCATCTGTATGATGAAAGTGGTATCAGTGTCAAATGTTCTTCTGATTATTATAATTTTATAATATGTATTATTACATTGGTCCTGTTCACATTATTTTTTATTTCCAAAAGTATCCACACTGATCCTGAACCATTTTTCTTACAGATAAACTTTAAAATTGCTTGTTGAAGAAAAAATTTTGAGATTATGATTGGAGTTGAATTAACTATAAAAATCATTTGGGGTCACATTATCTTTATAATATGAAGTCTTTCTATCCCAGAATAAGGTAAAATTATAGATTTATGTAATTCTGTTTTTATAGTCCTCATTGATGTTTTTAGTTTGTTTCAAATGGGTCTTATATATTTATCAAGTATATTCCTACGTATTCTGTGTATTTTTTTAATTGAGTAGGATTTTATTTATCTTTTTATTATTTTAGAAAGCTGTTGATATTATAGAAATAAGTTTATTGAGCAGGAAAGATGTTCTTTATATAATGGGGAAAAAACAAAAACAGTTTGTTGTGTTTTTTGTTTTTTTGAGGCAGAGTCTTGCTCTGTTGCCCTGGCTAAGAGTGCAGAGTGCATCACTATAGCTCACTGCAACCCAAACTCCTGGGCTCAAGCAATCCTTCTGCCTCAGCCTCCCAAATAGCTGAGAATCCATGTGCATACCAACACATCTGTTGAATTTTTCTTTTTTTTTTTTTTTTAGAGACAGGATGTCTCTCAAATTCCTGATCTGAAGTGATCCTCTTGCCTTGGCCTCCCAGAGTGCTAGGATTACAGGCGTGAGCCACCACACCCAGCCCCAAAACAGTTTTTAAACATGAGCGTATGCTTAAATTTTTGTTCATCAGTATCAGAGTAGTTTCCACGATCTCTTAAGAATGATTGCTTGTGTTGTGGTGAGATCATAGATAATAGTTATTTCTTATGTAGCTGATACGCATTTTTTATATTTTGCCATTACATTTTACTTTTGTAATAATAATTGTGGCTAATACTTGTTTAGTGATGGCTGTGTGCCAGCTATAGTTTTAAGGTTTATATATTAAATTGGAGGTATAAAATAATCATTTCTTGTATAACAAAGAAATGAGGAAGAAACCTCAGTATGTATTTCTGAGTTGGCACTGAAATTTGAATCACAGAAAGGCATGAAAGGGAATAGTTTGGCTTTTTAAGTGCTGCTTTTTAGCGTGATACAAGGTGGAGCAGGTTGTTCTTCATTTGTGTTTTTGTAAGTATAAGTGACTGAATGTTTACATGAAAATAAGAACTAATTCTAGGATTTATGTTGTGTGTGTGTGCATAAATATACACAAATGATGTTATGATTTGGGTAGCAAATGCTTTGAACATAGCAGGATGGAGGACAACATTCTAATTCTGCTCTTAATAGCTGTGTGATCATGAGCACACTCTAAATCACTCTAAGTTTCAGTTTTTTTCTGTGTAAAGTGGAGATTATTTTAAGTGCTTTATAGGGTTTTCTGTAAGGATTACGTTGTAAAATGCTTAGTATATTGCCTTACATATAGACAGCACTCAAATGTTAGCTATTATTATTGTTCCAAGACAGCAGTCACTTTCCTTTTAATATCTCACTTGTTCCTCAAACTCCCACTGTGAAGTCCACTTTATTTTCATCATTTTAGCAAATGAACAAATAGAGGTTCTGAAGGCAAGAGGAGGAAAAAAAAGAGCAATAATATAAAAACTACAGTAAATATAAAGGTATTGAATTTGTCAGTTAAAAGATAGCTTATTGGTTTGGATTACCAACAACTTTGAGATCTGAGATGCTTGAAAGGGACAAACATAATGATGGTGAAGTTTTAAATGTAGTTGGATGGAGGGTGATAGGTATATATCTATAAACATAGATATATAGATATAGATAAATACTAACCAAAAAAATGCTGATGTTGCCAACTTCATCTAAGATTATAATAGGTTTTTTAGGCAAAAGGCATTATTTGGGATACACATTATCATTGCATAATGATTGATAAAAACTATGATTAATAAATGATTAATAAATAAAAAAATATAATCCAAACATCAACAGAATTATAAGGAAAAACTGGTCTATAGTGATATTGGGAAATTTTAACACACTTCCTTCAGAAATTGATAGAAATGGCAGACAAAAATTAGAAAGGATATAGAAGATTTTAATAGTAGGAAAATAAAGCTCAGAAAGAAGAAGTTTGTTTTTGCCAAAAGTCACATAGCCAATAAAGGAAAAAGTTGATTGAAATTCAAATTTGTTTTAATACAAGTCACACGGGCTTTGAAGAATTCTGCCTACCTAGAGTTGTCTTTTTCTTCATAGGACTTGTTAAAGTGATTTGCATTTCAGTCCACAGTGAATATTGAACAACTCTTAGAATTATTTTATTTCTCATATTTCATTATCTGTTTACAGAGACATAGGCTTCTACTGTTCTGTTTTACTATATCCTATTTCTTTCCCTGAGAGCCCTGTTTCAATTATATAACAAACATATTCTGGCCTTGGATAATCATGAATTCTAAGTTCCTAGCAAGAGAGGAAAGGATTTCAGGAACAATGTGAATATACCAGTTGAGGTGCATTTGTCTCTAAGTCTACAGATCCTGGTTCCTCACAAGTAAGCCTGCTCATGTGAGATAAGAAGGGAATTTCTGGAATCAAGAATTCATTCTCAGTGTAGAAGACCTTGCCACGACCTCACTCCAGAGCTTTGAAACAGAGGCAAAAGGGACACAGAATAGAACAGATCACAGCTTTGTTAATCATCTCACACAGACAACAGACAATGAACATGCTGCAGGTGAGTAGATTGTTTATTTCTATTTTTTTTTTTTTACCCAAGGGGTTAGAAGAGATGTATAAGTCTTCCAGTGAAAAAGAAAACTATATATAGTTAAGAAGTCTGGAGAAAATAGCCTCAGAATAGAAGATCAGGTTTGGGGCAAAATTGGAGCAGTGATTTATTAACTATCAGGCCTTGAAAAGTTTGACTATAAGCCATGGTGTCCTGCATAATTATTGCATTTGAGCTGCAAACTTGGTTCTCAAATTGTTGGCAGTTTTAGTAAAGAAATGTGAACATTTATATGAGTTGCATAGTTCAAAGGAAAAAGCAAATCAATTTCTTATAGGAAGTAAACATTTATTGGTAATTACATACATTTTTTTCCTTTGATGAAGCCTTTAAGTAAGTGATATGCAATAATTTCCCCATCCAAAGTTTTGCTTTCTGTAGTTTCAGTTACCTGAGGTCAGCCACAGTTCAAAAATAATAAATGGGAGCTGGGCGAGGTGGCTCTTGCCTTTAATCTTAGCACTCTGGAAGTTCTAAGGTAAGACGATCGCTGGAGGTCAGGAGTTTGAGACCAGCCTGAGCAAGAGCAAGACCCTGTCTCTACCAAAAATAGAAAAATTAGCCCAGTGTGGTGGTACCCGCATGTAGTCCTAGATATTTGGGAGGTTGAGGCAGGAGGATCGCTTGAGCCCAGGACTTAGAGGTTATAGTGAGCTATGATGATGCCACTGCACTCTATCCCAGGTGACAGAGTGAGACTGTCTCAAAAAGAAAAAAAATTAAATAGAAAATTCCAGAAATAAGCAATTCATAAGATTTAAATTATGCATTTAATATGAGTATGAGTAGGGTGAAGTCTCAATTGCACACTCTCCCCACTGGGTACCCACCCTGTATATGCTACCTGCCCGGTAGTTACCCAGTAGCCATCTGAGTTATTAGATTGACCGTTGTGATATAGCAGTGCTTGTGATTAAGTAATAAACCTTATTTTACTTAATAATGGCCCCCAAAGCACTAGGGTACTCAGTCTACCAATTCAGATAGGCTAAAGAGAAGCCATAAAGTGCTTCCTGTACGTTCTCAACATAAGGACAGGAGAAAAATCATATGCTGACATTGCTGATATCTACAAGAACGAATCTTCTGTGAAATTGTGAAGAAGGAAAAGGAAATACTTGTTAGCTCTGCTATTGTACCTCAATCTGCAAAAGTTACCATAACAGTATGTGATATTTTCTTACGGCACATTGTTGTCCTATTTTAGTATTGTTAATCTCTCATTGTGCTTATTTATATACTAGACTTTATCATTGGTATCTATGTGTAGGAAAAAACATAGTATATGTAGGGATTGGTACTGTCCAGTTTCAAGCATCTACTGGAGACTTGGAACATCCTGGGTGGATAAGGTAGGGACTTATGCTGCAGTAGGTAAGGTTCTCAAGAGAAACAGCATAATAAGTGCTTGGGTCTAATGGCTATTTTTCATAGTATTCTTCAGAATATGACCGTAGTTATTTACTTATCTACCTTTTTAAATTGTGAAGCCTCATTTACATGCAGAAAAGTACATAAAAAATAAAAGTACAGTTTAATGAATTATTGTCAAGTGAATATGCATGAAACCACCACTCAAGTCAAGCGCTTAGTACAACATTCCCAACCCAAACAAGCCCTTCATGTGCCTTCTCCCAATCACAATCTCTTCCTGACAAAGGTAACCAGGATCCTGGGTTTTCTGATAATTATTTCCTTGCTTTTCTTTATGGTTTTACTTCTATCTGTGCATCCTTAAACATTATGGTTTGGTTTTGTCTGTTGTATATGTTCATTTGTATCTTCTTTCCACTTAACATTTTGTTTATGAAATTTGTTGCGATTGCATCCCTTCCCCCAATTGAGGTAGCTTCTTAATATCACCAAATCTAGTAAGTGTTTAAATTTCCAATTCTCTCATAAAATTCATAAGTTGTTTGCAGTTTTAAAAAATCAGAATAAAAATAAAGTCATACAATGCAATTGGTTGATCTGTCTCTTAAGTCCCTTTTAATCTATTGGCTTGTCTTATTTTTTTCTAGTCAAATTATTTGTTGAAGAAGCCAGGTCTTTTTTTCTGCATAGTTTCCCTCTGTCTAGATTTTGCCAGTGGCATTGTCACAGTGTTGTTAATGTGTTTTTGTCACATGTATTTGGTATAAATTGGTAGACTTAAGAGTTGCACTGTCCAATATGGAAGCCACTGGCTACACATGACTATTTAAATTAATTAAAATTAAATCCCTCAGTCACAGTAGCCACATTTCAAGTGCTCGGTAGCCACCAAGTAGACAACTATGAATTGGATAGCACAGATAAAGAATATTTCCATCATCACAGAAAGTTCTGTTGGACAGATCTGATCTAGTTTGACTTTTTTTGTTGGCAGGAATGCTATAAGACTAAGTAGTTTTTGAGAGTTTTATTTTATCATGTTTCTTTTGCTACTACCTCTTTCAGTGCCAAATTTGAGATCCAGCAAATATTTTGTTGGTGGTTCAGGAGATTTACAGTTCTCATGTGTTGTGTGAGAATTGTCAGAATCAAAGTGGATTCTCTAGTGTTTTTTTAAAAACCCTGACAAATAGAGCTAGAGAAGCCCATGAAGAGAAGATTCTCATGCTTGTATGTTTGATAACAAAAAATACCACACAAGATTGCAAAAACCACAGCCTTGTACAAAGGCCACTGCAACCTTACACAAAAAATACTTCTGTGAGTACATCTGCCCTGAAACTGCCTGTTCAACCTTGGACTGGTGTCACCCTGTTGTTGATCTTTATAGCCAAGATTAATTATTTAAAACAATTATGTAATTCTCCTCATTTTTTCCTTTAAAACCTTTTGTCTTCCTTTTCCTTCCTGAATACACACATCGTTTAGAGTGCGTTTCTGTATTTGCTATTTAGGTTGACAGTTATACAAATGGAAAGATGGAAGAATGCACAATGGCATTTTGTCACACAAAATATGCAAAGATGGGGGCATAGTAAGTATTTTACATAACTTGTTATGAGGACAGTGTGCTCAAGCTCCAGTACTTCTTTCCCATGTCATGTACTGATAACTGCTTCAGACTTACTAGAATTGTGCTCTTACAGGAATCATTTTCATTTGAAGATTTATCTGTAGACTTCACCCAAAAGGAATGGCAGCTGTTGGATCCCTATCAGAAGAATTTATACAAGGATGTCATGTTGGAGAACTATAGTAGCCTAGTGTCACTGGGTAAGAAAAGCTTCCTTGAGTACCTTGGAGTGTGCCCAGTGTGTTGCATTGTCTTTTTTAGTTGCTTAAAGCAATAGACTTCTGAAATTTTTAATGATTTTGGACCAAAATTTAGGAGATCCAAGTTCCTTGGGCTGTGACACTGAGAAAGTATTTGGATCTCACCTTCCAGTAATAAATTCTTAAGTTTGTTGTGCAGCCTCTGAAACTTAAGTAGTAATAGGGATAGTAGTAGTGTAGCTCCTGAAGCATATAATTCACTATAGGCCACATACTGTACCAAGCGCTTTACATATATTGACTCATTTAATCATCAGAGCAGTCCTGTGTGGCAGGAATAATCATCCCTTTTTCTAGATGAGAAAATTGAGACAAAGAGAGCTTAAATAACTTTCTCAAGGACTGACAGCTAGTAAATGAAAGATCCTAGAAGTCAAAGGTTCTTAAACCCTATTAGCTCCCTTGGAGACTGTTACCATAACTTTGAGAATCATTGACTCTCTAGAGGTACAATTTTATCAGGCCAACTCTGATGTTAAACCTTGCTCATTCTTCAGAGGCCCTGAAGCCCAAGCAGTATTTGTGATTTCTCATGAACAGGATATGAAGTTATGAAACCAGATATCATCTTCAAGTTGGAGCAAGGAGAAGAGCCATGGATAGGAGATGGAGCAGTCCCAAGTTCAGACTCTCCAGGTGAGTGTATGACAACCATGGAGATGGGAGAAAGTAGAAAAGTTCAATCTCAGTTGGTCAGTGATGGGTTTGCATCTTTGAAATGTGCTTTAGACAGCTCTTTTCAAAACCTCTAAACTTTTGGTAGTGATTCAGAACAATTGACATCAGCTACTCGGGTAAATCACATTTAGATGTGGTTTCTTTTTTTGTAACTTAAAATGAAATGTGTCCTACTTATGTGAACCATGATGTTTTGCTATTCCCTGTCTGTCACATCTAAGACTTTGAATTCTTGTTTGGTATTCTGTCCCCTGACATATTTGACTACTTCTGTCCCTCCTTCCCCCATGCTCAAAGATACTTCTGTTTGTAAATTCAAGAATTCTGATTTTTTCCTCACGGTGGGTGTCTCTGGTACTTAGAGGACCACCTGCAAAGCCCCACTCCATTTGGTCTCATTGTATTAGAAAATGGAGCCATGATATCTCGCAAATAATTTGTACTTGTCTTCTCTTTAAAATTAGAATCTATTGGTTTTATTCTATAGTTTAGACACCATAGAATGTAGAAATAATCTCTACCATCCTTTCTTATTTTTAAGTTTTTTATTCTTTACAAAATATCTTTTTAAAGCTTTCTCTTCCTCAGCTTCCACTTAAAACTAGGCCCATGATGTCTTGTTCCTGAAGTTCTCAAAAGCATCCAACACTACTGTGATCATTTTCATTATCTGCTGTGGGACATTGACTTACTTCAAGTTCCCTCAAAAGCATGCCCTAAAATACACGTCTGAGTGTAAGAATTTATTGAAGATGTAGTCCCCACAAGTGCAGTGAGGGAATGGAGGAGTGAGATTGGGGTAGTGCCAGGGAGACTAATGCGAGTGTATGGTGGACTGATGCTTGGACTGCTGTGGGCAGTAGGGGCTCATTTCTGCTGAGAGCTCTGACGCACCATGAGAACATACCTCAGACACAGAACATACCTCTGTGGGAACAGGAAGCCCAGGCATTTATCTTCCAACTCCCATCTCTTAGTGGTTGCAGATTCTCTGGGGCTTATTAAGTCCCCAGAATGTCCAGCGTACCTGCACACAGACCAAGCTTGCACTTGCAGCCCAAGAAAGGAAGGTCTTGGGAGAGAATTGAGGGTGACAGGGGTAGGCACTATGTCAGGAACCATCCATCAAAGTTGTAGGTGTCCACTGAATTTAGCTGAGGGCTGTGGGTGAGGCAACAAAAGCATCTGCTACAGACTTGTCATCTCTTCTTTCAGGGACCTCCATAGTATGACACTACGTTGCCTATTCATTTATTTTTACTTTCCCCCACCAAATTTATGGTTAATTCCATTTAAACATTTCTCATTGTTTACAGGCTTGTACTATTTACCCTTCTCTGTATTCAAACTTTTGATGGTGCCTTGCTAGTTACCTAGAAATTCTTTATCTTTTCTGAAGGAACTGTTTTCACTGCATTCAAGTTCACGAAATTTTCCTTGAATACTCCAGCCTAAATTTTTCTCACCTTTTTCTTTCTTTTCTTTTCTTTTTTTTTTTCAAGATAGGGTCTCACTCTGTCACTCAAGCTAGGGTGCAGTGGCATCATCATAGCTCACTGCAACCTCAAACTCCTGGGCTCAAGCGATCCTCCTGCCTCAGCCTCCCGAGTAGGTGGACTACAGGTGCATGCTACCATACCCAGCTAATTTTTCTCATTTTTTTTGCAGCAGTGGGGTCTTGCTGTTTTTGCTCAGGCTTCTCACCTTTTTCTTAGGTCCAGTCCCAGACCAGATCGCAGTGTGTATGATATTTCGTTGGTGGTCCCTGAGCTTTATTTACACACATATATGCAAGGCTTTATAACTTAATATCTTCACTACAGTTAGGGAACACATGGTATTCAATAAATTGTTTTCTACAAACTTTGGTTTTTTTTTTTTTTTTTTTTGAGGCAGAGTCTCACTTTGTTGCCCAGGCTAGAGTGAGTGCCGTGGCATCCTCCTAGCTCACAGCAACCTCAAACTCCTGGGCTCAAGCAATCTTCCTGCCTCAGCCTCCCCAGTAGCTGGGACTACGGGCATTCACCACCATGCCTGGCTAATTTTTTCTGGATGTATTAATTGACCAATTAATTTCTTTCTATTTATAGTAGAGACGGGGTCTTGCTCTTGATCAGGCTGGTTTCGAACTCCTGACTTTGAGCAATCCACCCGCCTCAGCCTCCCAGAGTGCTAGGATTACAGGCGTGAGCCACCACGCCCGGCCCAAACATTGTTTTAATACAGCTGTTTTTAGCCAGAGTGTGCATTACCTTACCTTGGGATTTTTTTCCAACTATAGGCATCATGGATCCAATAGCACAAACTGATTTAATAGAGTGATGTGTGTTTAGCTTTTGAATTTGTTATGGTAGGACTGGTATTTGTAATTTGAGAAACCTCTTGTGATTTGTATATGCCCTGTTTAGTTGAGACCCACACTTTAATGATTACTGAAAAGCATTAAAAAGTAAGAGACCAGAAAATAAGTTTCAGAAGTGTAGAACTTAGTTAAGAAGATGAGTCATTTGCATCTATTTTTTTTTAATTCAGGATTTAAAAATTGAGCATTTATTTTGTTGTAAGGCAGTGCAAGGTTAATTGTTAATTAATTATATAAATAGGGACTATGTGTCTAAGACCTATGTTTACAGAGTCACTAGGACTCACAGGACTCAGCATATAATTGTACTTATGACTAAGATTTATTACAATGAAATTACATAGACACATACAAAAGAACAAGGCACAGGGAGAGTCTGGAAGAATCCATGTGCAGGCTTCCTGTGCTCCCTCCCTTCCGTAAAGGTCACACAGTTTCCTATCCCCTTGCAACAAAATGTAGTAACATGTATTTGATGTTTCTGATCAGAGAAGCTAATTAGAGACTCAGTGCCCAAGATCTTTACTGGGGGCTGGTCATGTAGATTTTGTTTGCCTAGATCGTTCTAACATTTCAGACTCCAAGAAGGAAAGCAGATGCTAAGCATAGATCATATTGTTTGTATATAGTTGAGGCACAGTAAGACACTCTTATCATTTAGGGTATGGTGGGAATATCTCTGAAACCCAAGCAGGGCTTTCTATGGATAGCAGTCTCAAGCCTGATGCTAATTCTTTTCTGTACAGATTGCATTAGCAGGTTAGAGAAAATGGAATATTTATTGATTTCTTCTATTTTTCAGGTATTATGCTAGGTTCTCGGGCACAATAGGGAACATTAGAGAAATATTTTCTGCCCACATAGTGCTTACTTTTTAGTGGGAGGATAAAGAAAATGAACAAAGTAGCAAATAACCAAGATAAAATCTAGGCCCTGATAAATGCTATTATGGAAATAAATTAGGTGAAAGATTATATTACTCTTCTTAGGCTGCCATAACAAAATACCATAGACTGGGTGTGTTAAATAACAAATTTATTTTTCCCAATTCTGGAGACTGGAAAGTCCAAGATCACAAGGTTTCTACCATGATCAGTTTCTCATGATGCCTTTCTTCCTGGCTTGTAGACAGCGCCTTTTCAATGTGTCCTTACATGGCCCTTCTTTGGTGTGTGCATGTAGAGAGAAAGTGTGTGGTGTTTTGGGGTTTGAGACAGAGTCTCGCTTTGTTGCCCAGGCTAGAGTGAGTGCCGTGGCGTCAGCCTGGCTCACAGCAACCTCAAACTCCTGGGCTCAGCAATCCTACTGCCTCAGCCTCCCGAGTAGCGGGACTACAGGCATGCGCCACATGCCGGCTAATTTTTTTGTGTATATATAATATAAATCTTTAGTTGCATTAATATTCTTCTATTGGTAGAGATCGAACTCCTGACCTTGAGCAATCCACCCGTCTCGGCCTCCCAAAGTGCTAGGATTACAGGGGGTCTCTTTTTATAGTCACTAATCCCATTGTATCAGGGTCCCACCCTTATGACCTTATTTAACCTTGATTACTTCCTTTAGAGGTTCCTTCTCCAAATAGTCATACTGAGGGTTAGGGATTCAACATATGAATTTTGTGAAGACACAAACATTTAGTCTGTAACAGAACAACATGAAGATGCCAATTCTAGATGTGAGGAATGTGAAATAGTAAAGCTATGTGAAGAATTAGGGGAAAACATCTCAAAAAGGAATGATGAAAATGAATGTGTTAAGTCAGGAACAGGCTTGGTAACTTTAAGAAACAAGCCTATGTGACTGAGATCAGTGGACCAGGAAGGTATAGAGACACTGGAGAGAGTGTGGGAACTAAATCATACCTCAATTTGTAGGTGATAGCAAGGAGTTAGAATTGAAGTAATTTTAAATAAAAGTTGGGTTATCTGATTTATAATTTTGAAAGCTCAATCTGACCACGGAGTGGAAAATGTAATTGGTAGCAGTGAAACCAATTAGAAGGATATTTAATCTAGATGATATGATGGATTAGAGTAGAGTAGAGAAAGTCATGGGGGATGGTATTTCCAATATACCAGAAGTGACCAAATACAAGGCAGTCCCAATTTTTCTAATAGGAAAAAAATTAAAAATTTGGAGAAAGGTAAATGATAATTTCAAATATGTACTTAGTTTAATGTTATAACATTTAAAGTAAGAGATGGTAAGTTTAATTTACAAATACTCCATTTTCTGCTCCTACATTTCCTGATACCATTTTATTCAAACTCTTCACATGTCTCAAAATGAAGACATCTATAGTGGAATCTTCTTTTCTTTTTTTTTTTTTTTGAGACAGAGTCTTGCCTTGTTGCCCCAGCTGATATGCCATGGTATTGGCCCACCTCATGGCAACCTCAAATTCCTGGGCTCAAGCTATTCTCTTCCCTCAGTTTCCCAAGTAGCTGGGACTACAGGCACAACTAGCTAATTTTTTACACGACTAGCTAATTTTTTCTATTTTTAGTAGAGACAGGGTCTTGCTCTTGCTATTGCTCAGGCTGGTCTCAAACTCCTTACATCAAACAGTCTCCCACCTTGGCCTCCCAGAGTGCTAGGATAATAGGCATGAGCGACCAGGCCCAGCCAATGTAGTGGAGTCTTAATTTTAACCTCCAGATTTCTTTTCCCTCAGTCTTCTCTAACTCATTAACACTATTAACACCAAATTGCTCAAACCCCAAACATAAAGAATCACTCTTTTTTTTTTTTTTTTTTTTGAGACAGAGTCTCGCTTTGTTGCCTAGGCTAGAGTGAGTGCCGTGGCGTTAGCCTAGCTCACAGCAACCTCAAACTCCTGGGCTCAAGCAATCCTTCTGCCTCAGCCTCCCAAGTAGCTGGGACTACAGGCATGCACCACCATGCCTGGCTCATTTTTCTATATATATTAGTTGGCCAATTAATTTCTTTCTATTTATAGTAGAGACGGGGTCTCACTCTTGCTCAGGCTGGTTTCGAACTCCTGACCTCGAGCAATCCGCCCGCCTCAGCCTCCCAGAGAACTAGGATTACAGGCGTGAGCCACCGCGCCCGGCCAAAGAATCACTCTTGATTCCTTGTTTTCTCTTATCCCCTTCACATGAAATTTATCAGCTAATCTTGCTGATTCTACCTTCAAAATATAATTTATGACTAAAAATGAGTTATGAGCTTTCTGCAAATGTATTGCTGTCAATTAACATTTACATTTGTAACACATTTTGCTTTTACTGATAATCTTTCATAGCTCTAGCTGTTACTTCACAAAAAATTCTAAGCATAGGTTTTTATTGAAATATAAGCCTTTTGAGGAGCACTTATAACATAAGTGGCTTTGTTGTGAGGATAATGGAAGTAAAGCCATATAATAAATATCAAACTGTCAGAATATTTTAAGAATGGGAACTTGTGTCTTGGGATAGTTTAAGTAAAAGTACACACAGATTTTAAAGTTCTGTGCTTGAATAGTTTAAATGAAAGATAATATGTTTTGAAAATGTGTTGCATGAAGTGGCTTCCCTGGTAGTAATGTGGACATGTATAGGACAAGTTTAAATAAAAGTTTCAGAAAATGTGAGAATGGGAAAACATACATAAAATATTTTATACACTGCAAGCTTGAATTAATTTTAGCCAATTAGTCTTTCCAATGTGTTCATTTTCTTCATAGTATTTGCTAAGTACAGTGTATAGTTTTGTTGTTTACTAATATTTGTTTATTCTTTATCTTTTCTGTTAAAAATTTCATAATAGCAGGGCCCTATTTTTTTGTCTTGTGTCTCCAGACCTCACACATTGCCTGGAGCATAGTATATATTCGGTAGTTACTCAGTGAATTAATTCCTCAAAACATTGGGTCAATGATTCTTCAAACCTCCTTTGTTCTTCATTGCTCTTCATGTACTTTTCCCATTTGATAAACATATTATTTGTCAATAACCAAAGGTGGCTTTATCTATAGTCAGTTTCCTGCTCCTGTTTTCAGCATTTCATTTTTCAATACCCAGAAGATAGATATTATACTTGGGACATATTTCAGACTATGAAACTAAGCCTTAAAAAACAGGCCCTCAACACAGCATTTCTAGTTTTTTATTCAGTAAGCACACCCGATTTTTTGTTTCCTTTATAGAAGAAGCCTGGCAAGTAGATGGTCATGTGATGTGGCACCGGGATAACCAAGACAAGCTTAAAAATATGCAAAGGATTCTTGAATGTGATGCATTTGGAACAAAATTCAATCTAAATATGAACTTTGTTCCTTTAAAGAACTCAAACAATGAAGATAACTTAGATGGCTTGATTTTAAAACATCATTTAGATTTGCTTATTCCAAAAGCAGATTGTAGAAAAACAGAATCAGAGGACTTTAATGTATTTGATAAATTGTTTCTCCCTTCCAAGCCTGAGAAACCTGATACTTGGTTAGAATACTATGAATGTGATAAATATGATAAAGACATCTATAAAAAGTCACAGATTGTCATATATCACAGAACTCGTTTAGGGGAGAAACTCTATGAATGCAGTGAATGTAGGAAACGTTTCAGTAAGAAATCAAGTCTCATTAAACATCAGAGTAGGCATATAAGAGAAATAGCCTATGGCTGTGGTAAATGTGGCAAAACCTTTCCTCAGAAGTCACAGTTTGTTACCCATCACAGAACTCATACAGGAGAGAAACCTTACAATTGTAGCGAGTGTGGAAAAGCCTTCTCCCAAAAGTCACAGCTCACATCCCATCAGAGAACACATACGGGAGAGAAACCATATGAGTGTGGAGAGTGTGGGAAAGCCTTCTCCCGGAAGTCACATCTCATATCACATTGGAGAACGCACACAGGAGAAAAACCCTATGGATGCAATGAATGTGGGAGGGCCTTTAGTGAAAAGTCAAACCTCATTAATCATCAGAGAATTCATACAGGAGAGAAGCCTTTTGAATGCAGAGAATGTGGGAAAGCTTTCAGCAGGAAGTCACAACTCGTTACACATCACAGAACTCACACAGGAACAAAACCCTATGGGTGTAGTGATTGTAGAAAAGCCTTCTTTGAGAAGTCAGAGCTCATTAGACATCAGACAATTCATACTGGAGAGAAACCCTATGAGTGCAGTGAATGTGGGAAAGCATTTAGAGAGAGGTCAAGTCTCATTAATCACCAGAGAACTCATACAGGAGAGAAGCCTCATGGATGCATTCAGTGCGGGAAAGCCTTCTCCCAGAAATCACATCTCATATCACATCAGATGACACACACAGGAGAAAAACCCTTCATTTGCAGTAAATGTGGGAAAGCCTTCAGTAGGAAATCCCAGCTTGTTAGACATCAAAGAACTCATACGGGAGAAAAACCCTATGAATGCAGTGAATGTGGGAAAGCTTTCAGTGAAAAATTAAGTCTGACTAATCATCAGAGAATTCATACTGGAGAAAAACCCTATGTATGCAGTGAGTGTGGGAGAGCCTTTTGTCAGAAGTCACATCTCATATCACATCAGCGGACACATACAGGAGAGAAACCCTATGAATGCACTGAATGTGGGAAAGCCTTTGGTGAGAAGTCAAGTCTTGCAACTCATCAAAGAACTCATACAGGAGAAAAACCCTATGAATGCAGGGACTGTGAAAAAGCCTTTTCCCAGAAGTCACAGCTAAACACACACCAGAGAATCCACACAGGAGAGAAACCCTACGAATGCAGTTTTTGTAGAAAAGCCTTCTTTGAGAAGTCAGAGCTTATCAGACACCAGAGAACTCATACAGGAGAAAAACCTTATGAATGCAGTGAATGTAGAAAAGCCTTCAGGGAGAAGTCAAGTCTCATTAATCATCAGAGAATACACACAGGAGAGAAACCCTTTGAATGCAGTGAATGTGGCAAAGCCTTCTCTCGGAAGTCACACCTCATACCACATCAGAGGACACATACAGGTGAGAAACCTTATGGTTGCAGTGAATGTAGGAAGGCCTTCTCTCAGAAATCACAGCTTGTTAATCATCAGAGAATTCATACCGGAGAGAAGCCTTATCAATGTAATGAATGTGTGAAAGCCTTCTCACAGAAGTCACAGCTCATTAATCATCAGAGAACTCATAAAGTAAAGAAATCCTAGGAATGTAATTAATATGAGTCTGACATCATAACAGTTGTACTTCAGAAAATGCAGTTTAATTTTTCAGATAATAGTCACATCATATAATATGTCAGAGCAGTCCTTTTAAGTGGGGAACTCTATTATGTAGGGAAAACTTTCAGCAAATAAACATGCTTGTATATCAGAATTGATAGGGTATAATGTACTTATGAATGAATGCAGTGTTTCTCAAAACCCTTTGAAACCACAATTGAGCCTTATACAGTAGAAAATTCACAGCAAAGAGGAGTCCTGTGAATATTGCAAATATCCAAAACCCATCCAGTGGTCAAATCTTATAAACTATCAGAAATATTCCCACTGGTGATGAGGAGAAATCCCATGAATATAGCAAGTGAGGCAATATTTTTATTAATAAATCACAGTTCATTGTACATAAGAAAATGCCCTTAGGAATGAAATTCTGTGACGCTTCTAAATACAGGATAAGTAATCGAATATATTGTATTTTAGAAAATTCATATTGTGGATAAACCTAATAATTGAAAGACATTGGAAACATATGCCCCTTGAAATAATACTATAAAGGGAAGCCATATTCTTTCTGTAGATATGTGTATGAAAAATACCCAATTCTAAATGGTTGACAGATGTTCCTTCTGAAGTATAAAGATTTAAAAATATATGAATAAATTGGTCATTGAAACATCTGAGTAAGAAATTTCTTACTGGTATTTATGGTTTATTTTCCTGTGTTGCATAATACGTTTTGTATTTTAGGATTGCATATAATGTAATTGCGAGCATGAAATGCATATACCTTATAGTGCCTATGATGTCTGTCAAAATACACTACATATCACTATTTTTTCCACTTTAATACTATAAAAATGGAAACTGATATAACATGACTTACTGCTGAATAAGTAGCTTAAGTGATAATACCACATTTCTTTTTATTGTCTATTGGCGATAGATGGGGTCTATTGTTACCTTTCTCTTCAGCAACTGAAACTAACATCATCTAAGTCTTCTGCATCCTCCAAATCTGAAAAACAGTCTATATAATAAGTATGCAAAAGCAAGAACTACAGAATAGCATTAGTGATATATGATACTGAGGGAGTAAAAGAAAGATGTGTGAACTATATTACTCAGCCCTCAAATAGATGAAAGTGGGTAATGCTGTGCAAAATTTTTTTCTCATTTAGTGATATGCCTTTATACATCATGTGTGTGTATATATATATATATATATTTAAGTGTTATGTAACCCAAGTACCACTGGTATTTTAATTTAGTATAATGAAATACCATGGATACTTTGTGCTATTTTGTTTTTGGTGTTTCATAAAATATCTTGTAAAAAATAGATGTAGAAACTGATGAAGAATCACTGTTCAGAAGATGTAAAATATAGACATTTTGTGCTTAAAAAAAAAAACAAACCTTTTGACACATTCAAGGAAGCCTATTTTGTTTTCCCGATCAGTCCTGTGATTACTGGACAAATACAGAGGCTCCTTGGTTTACAGTGGGGTTCTGTCCTAATAAACCCATTGTAAGTTGAAAATCTTGTAAGTCAAAAATGCATTTAGGCCGGGAAAAAAAAGATGAATCCTGTGTCCCACGCGGTCCCGCGGTGCGCTCTGGGAAGTGCAGTCTGAGACCCGCCTTGCGTGTCGTGGCGTGTGGGCGCGGCCGCGCACCCTGGGAGTGGTAGTAGGGGAGGGAACCCTGTGTCCCACGCGGAGCCCGCGGTGCGCTCTGGGAAGTGCAGTCTGAGACCGGCCTTCTGCGTGTGTGGGCGCGCCGCGGGCACCCTGGGAGTGGTAGTAGGGGAGGGAACCCTGTGTCCCACGCGGAGCCCGCGGTGCGCTCTGGGAAGTGCAGTCTGAGACCGGCCTGCGTGTGTGGGCGGGGCTGCGGGGCACCCTGGGAGTGATAGTGGGAAAGGAACCCTGTATGCCACGCTCTGAGCCCGCGGTGCGCTCTGGGAAGTGCAGTCTGAGACCGCCTTCTGCGTGTGTGGGCGCGTCCGCGGGCACCCTGGGAGTGGTAGTAGGGGAGGGAACCCTGTGTCCCACGCGGAGCCCGCGGTGCGCTCTGGGAAGTGCAGTCTGAGACCGCCTTCTGCGTGTGTGGGCGCGGCCGCGGGGCACCCTGGGAGTGGTAGTAGGGGAGGGAACCCTGTGTCCCTGGCGGAGCCCGCGGTGCGCTCTGGGAAATGCAGTCTGAGACGGCGTTTGCGTGTGTGTGCGCGGCCCGCCAGGCAC